TAATAACATCTGTATATCATGTGCTATCCCAGATTATATCAAGATGGGAATTTTATCACCAATTTTCAAAAAGAAAGGTTTACCCACAGATCCTAAAAACTACAGAGGAATTACAGTTCTTCCTGTTATTGCCAAACAGTTCTTCCTGTTATTGGCAAAATCCTAGAGATACTCCTTAAGGAACACCTATGGCAAATTATTGCAACCATCCAAAACCAATTTCAGAGAGGATTTACGTCTAAAATATCACCATTATTTTGCGCTCTTCTACTTAATGAAGTGATTATCGATGCAGTATACAGGAAAACACCTTTATATGTAGCTCTGCTTGATGCAAAATCAGCCTTTGACGTCGTTAACCACAGTAGTTTATATAGAAAGTTATACCTAGCAGGGATCTCTGGCTCATTATGGTTACTTTTGCATGATCTAAGTGTTGGTGCACAAACCTCAGTTCGATGGGAAAATCTGGTCTCTGAACCCTTCGATATTAAGCAAGGAGTTAGGCAGGGTGGAATACTAAGCACAGAGTTATACAAACTATATATAAATGACATTCTTAACCAAGTAGAGGACAGTACACTGGGATCCTATATTGGACATATTCACTGTCCTATACCAACTTGTGCAGATGATGTCACTCTGGTCGTAAATGATCCTACCAATATGCAAACTTAACAACCGTGGAGAATTACAGTCAACAGGAGAAATATTCATTACAGCCTACAAAATGTAAAATTATTAAAACTGGGAAACCAAAATTAGAGGATAACTTCAATTTCACTTTAAATGATACACCTATTCAAAATGCTGAAACTGCTGTACATTTAGGAATTACTCACAGCAGTAACCCGCGGCAAACCATCCCAATCCATATCCAGGAAAACATCAACAATTAAAGCCAGGATCGAGAACAATGTACAGTTTGATGGGGACAGGCCTGCATGGCAAGAACGGCCTTAATCCAGTAGCATGCCTACAATTATTCCAAGTTTATGTGCTACCAGTACTCATTTATGGCCTAGAAATACTTTTACCAAATTCTACACAACTGGAACCAATTGAATTTTTTTATCGGAAAAGCATCAAACAAATCCTATCTATCCCCACTAACACAACAGACATGGCTGTGTATATACTGTCGGGTACGATTCCAGTAATTAGTAAAATCCATAAACTAGCTTTGGGAACTTTTGCAAACATTTCAAGACAAGAGAACTGTATAGAAAGACAAGTCGCAGAAAGACAAATCCTCATCTCATCAGCCGTAAAGGACAGTTGGTTCACAAAAATCAGATCTTTATTAATTAAATACAGCCTACCATCAATCTTTAACATTTTAGATGAACCACCTCCAAAATTAAAATGGACGAACTCTATCAGGAAAGAGATTGACACCTTCTGGGTTGAACATGTGATTACCATGTCTGTCTACTACAAGAGTTTTCATTTATTTCTACATCCAATTTTAAAACTGGTCATCTACACAATGCTCTAGCAAGTGTCCAGACTTCTGCAAAAGACATCCAGCGTCTCCCCATCAAACTTAGACTCCTTACTGGTACATACATTCTCCAATGTAATAGAGCAGCTTTCAATCAAGTTGACATCAACCCAACATGTCTCTTATGCGAGGAGGACGCTGAAACATTGGACCATTTCATTCATTCATGTCCTGCTTTAGCTTCTGCTAGAAACTATTACCTGCTTGAACTTTCAAATATTATCAATAAAAGCGAGCTCTGTCCGAAATGTAGAACATTAGAAAAACTAGAAATTAATATACAACTAATATTGGATGCTAGTGCCTTGCTCTGTAACTGTCAATGTAAATGTGGATGTACAGATTTTCTTTATCTTGTAGAATACATAAGTAGAAAACTTTGCTTTGCTTTGCACATTAGACGTAATACAATATTATTAACATTGCCGGTGAATAAAAAGAAAGGATTGCTTGCAACCACTCAGTCAAAGGCGTGAATATTTAAAATCTAAATTATCTTTTGTTTTAGATTTTAATAGTGTAATAAACATTTAGTGGGTGTTAAATACACCATATCCTACTCTGTAACCAGAGGTGTGCCTTTGAAAGGCAGGATCTTCATACAAGACAAGACAAGACATAGCCGAGGGTTTTAAATGTTCATAAAACATGACCAAGTATTGTCTGACCAATTTAGAACATATTCACACTTTCGAGTGACCTTACAAAATTATCCTTTCCCATTGTAATATTCAAACCTTGATAAGAATTCACTTTTTATAATGAAGTGTTAACTAGGTTAACAAAAGGAATGTATAACATAGGTAATGATCATTTCAATGGATGGAATGAAATAGCACTAACATAGTTTTGTGAAGACAAACAGGATAAATTGTTCAAACATTGAGTTTTTCTTCTGCCTCAGGTAAAATTTATACTTATATACCTTAAATTTCTTGATTTTGAAAAACACACAATGTTATATAAATCAGCTTTTTGAAATTTGTATATTTTTTGATAATTATAAAACTCACTTTACAAATATTTGAATTACAACCATTCAACATCAGATGGTTACTTTTTATTGATGAATGTACATGTATTGTGCTTTTTTTTCGAAAACAATCCTTTGCTTTATATATCAGCAGTCTGACATTGTTTTCTTGAAAGAAAAAAAAAAATAATTGACTCGAATGTCTGTTATCAAAATTGAATAAAAGATTATTTTACCTACATCTTTGCCCCCATTTCATTTTTTGTTTGTTATATATATGTACCATGATAAACATTTGCAAAATTCAAAATGTTTTTTTTCATAATTCTATTCTCTTTCATCTTTAATCAGTAGGCTATTTTCCCAAGGAAAATGCCTCAGGGGATTGTACACTTCGTTAGTGTAGTTATTAAGAGTTCCCTTTCATAATTAATCTACAATGAAAAGTCATTCATGTAAAGAATTTTATAGTGCATGGAAAGCCATGTACTATGAAAATTAGAAGGGAAAAAACTGACTTTTCATTGGACGAGAAGGGGTGAGTATGTTCTAATTAAATATTATTCCCATTAAATCACACGACACGTGGTTTTACACGAGAGTAATTCGTCTGTTTTGAATAGCGAAATTATGACGAAATTTTAAAGGTAATCAACAAAAAAAGAAACTGATTGTAAAATCTGTCATTCAACCTGAAAAATAAATTAATACAAATCAAAAATACATCATGAATACATTTCTATAAATATCTTATCGAGATACAGCTACAGGTAAAAGAACTGATCACTGTCCATACGTAAAATCAGGTGTCGTTTATGACTTTGAATAGTTGGGTGATGAGGTCAAACACCGCAGGTGTTAGGTAGATTAATTAACCTGACATGTCGGGCACTGTGTCGGTAACCCCATGTCGGGCGAACACTGTGTCGGTCGATCATGTCTCTCAGTATATGTCCTTACGAGTAAATTTCAAAATTCTAAATCCTTCATTATAAGACCTTCCTGGATGAAACTTTATGGAAATGTTACTTGGTAAGCCTAGATGTGCAGACAGTATTTAGAAATTCCAAAATGGCCGCCATTGTCATGGAAACAGGGCGAAAGTTTAACATTGACCCTATGGGAAAATACATTAAAGCTGCATTTTCTTAAAGAATATAACATAGAGATCAATAAAACTGTATGGATATGTAACATACCATGTGCCAATGTGTCGTCTGCTTTTGGAATTTCGGAAATGGTCATCGTTACCATGGAAACATCAAAAATTTCAAAAATTTCAAAATGCTCCAAATTTTCTGAAACTTTATATAAATGTTAACTGGCAAGTATAAATGAGACTTCTGGCTTTGGAATTTCCAAAATGGCCGCGTTGCCATGGAAACAGCAAAAATGTGTAAACAATTTCAAAATGCTCCAAATGTTCTGAAAATTTACAGAAAGATGTAAAGCCATGCATATATGTGCATTCACTGTTTAAAATTTTCGAAATGGCTGCGGCCGCTTAGAGGCAATGGGGGAAGGGTGACATCCGCTATTGCTTGCAATGGCAAATCTAGTTATTTTTTTTTTCTTTCACTTTTTTTGTCCAGCGGCTTAATTATATCTCGGAATTTTATGAACCAATGTTAATGGAACTATACAATAATGTTAACCAGCATGTGAAGATTTGCAATCGGGGTATGGCATTTTCAAGATGGCCGCCGTTACCATGGAAACAGCAAACATGTCCAAATTTCAAAATGGTCCAAATTTAATGAAACTTTACAACAATGTTAATTGGCATGTGTAGATGCGCTTTTTTACTTTGGAATTTCCAAAATGGCTAACGTTCCCCTAGCAATGGGGGGACGAGGGTGCCATCCGTTAATATTGCTCGCAATTACAAATCTAGTTTTTATTATTCTTCTTCCACACATTTTGTCCGTCGTGTTTCTCGGAATTTAATGGACCATATGTTGATGGAACTTTACTATAATGAGGACCCCCATGTAAAGTTGTGCACCTTGGTATGGAATGGTTCAAGATGGCCGCCGTTTCCATGGAAACAGCAAAAATGCGAAAAAAATCAGTGTCCCAAATGGAAAGAAACTTCACAGAAATGGTACAATGTAACTGGCATGTGCTGATTTGCAGTTTGATGTAGGAATTTTCAAAATGGCCGCCGTTACCATGGAAACTGCAAAAATGTAAAAAATTTCAAAATGCTCCAAACTTATTGAAACTTTACAGTACAAAAATGTTAATCAGCATGTGTAGATGCACTCTTTGACTATGGAGTTTTCAAAATGGCTGCCGTTACCCTGGCAATGGGGAAGGGTGCCATCCGTTATTGCTAGCAATTACAAATCTAGTTGTTATTATTATTATTATTATTAAAAGCGTCACAGCTAAAGTAAAAATACGAGTCGACACACCTTACGGGTACCCCTTTCCCGAACGGAAGAGATCCGAGGATGGCCGAATAAGCCAACTTTGCGAAATCGACAAATTTCGGTAGAATCCGCTACTGTTATACTTCCTTGTTGTCAGACTGGTTCAAGTGGTTGACAAGATTTTATCAGTGCAGTAAGATTCTTGTTTTTACATATATATAAACATATAAACATATTTTGATACTTATTTTTCGCTTCAAACATGCAATGATAGAAATTATACAGGTGTATTATATATATACACACATGACACAGGTCAGGAACAGTTATTAATTGGTTGGTTATACCTCAATCTCTCGTGATCGCTTGAGGTATTATGATATTTTCTTCGAAATAATCTGTTTGATGAAACTCGTGCATTTGCACCTATAGACTAGTATTATCATTATGATGTCTATTATCGTAAGCCTTGATATACTTATAGGCCATGTTGTCCATGTTAATATCACTGTTAGTCTCAGGGTCTTTGTGGGGTTTACAGAATAGAGAATAATGGGCCAAATATACAGAAAAAATAGACCACAAAAATAAGGAATCTAATATTAATGGTTCTTTCGCTTTGTAAACAACATTGACCAAGTTGACAATTGTGATAAAATTCTCTATATACTTAGCACAGAATCTGAGATGTACATAATAACGGCTATTACAATACATTTGTATATACATGTATACCTCGTCCTCCCATGCTAACGCTCATGATAAAATTCAAATATCACTGCCCAGGACATGTGTAAATTAATATTTCATGACTTTGTATCATGAAAGTTTGTCCCTATCTATAAAATAATGTCCAGAGAAGGACCAATTTCCATACGAAGTTGTGTCCATTTTCAGACAATATTTTATAGATGAATAGTATGAAATTTGATCTTGGTACAATCTACTAAATTCTTAAATACAACGCATTAAAAGTATAAAAATAGAATTGCATTTCCATATATATAGATTTAAACTTAGTTTTTGATTAACTATCTTATTTGATTTCATTTGACTTGAAATAATTTTCCTTTTGATTTTGTTTGCACACTATTACTTTGAAAATACATTTTATTTTTTGAACATCAACTTTTGAAATACTATCAGACTATTCTTATTCTATTTCATTGGATTATTATACATTTGTAAATAAGTAGTTGAGTTCTATTTGATTTAACATGATTATGTCTATATTCTAACCAAAATCTGATAATCAGGTATCCCTATGAATATAATGATCATGATGATTGAAAAGGGACTAAGTAGTAGAAATTTGCAATTTTTATGAAAAAGTTTTCTCAGAATAAAAAATATTTTCATATGGACCATTAAAATTGAATATATTAAAAAAATTTGTTCCCATAGAAATAAAAAATCCAATCAAATAATAACAGTAAAAATCTTATTGTGATTAACTGTAACAATGATGTTAGAAACTTGAAAACTTTAAATCAAATTTTCTACAAATATTTTTATGGCATCTTGACTAAAATACACACAAAACGAAGCTACATATTATCGACCCTATGCCCTGTAAATTGTTTATTTTAGAATTTTTATAATTTGGATAAATGTTTTACATTGTTATATAACAAATATGAGAATTTGAGTCAAATCGGTGAACATGAATTTGACAGCTAGTGCCCCTTTAAAGTATTACTTTCAGATTAAAAATTATAATAACATATTTTTTTTTCAAACTCTCTATTTTTGAAAAATGTTCGTAAATATATAATTTTTATATGACAGCAAAAGCAAAAACGTTTTTGGGTCGTATAATGCTATGTCGTCCTCATCGGCGCTGTCCAAAGACACATTGGGTTTCTTGACAATCACTTTAGTTAAGTTAATGGATCTCTAAATTTTACCAGAAATGGAAGGTTGGGATTGATTTTGGGGGTTATGGTATCAACAGTAATTATAGGAATTAGGGGCCAAAAAGAGAAAAAAAACAATCATTTTTGTAGTTTCTGGACAATTACTTGTGTGTAAGTGTATGTACAATGTATCTCTCTGAAACTGTACCACAAGGTTCCATATCACAAAGGGAAGGCTTGGATTGAGTTTGGGTGTAACTGCCCCAAATGTTCAGGAATTAGGGGCCAAAACAAGCATTTTTCTAGTTTCCAGACAATAACTTGTGTTTAAATGTATGGATCTCTCTGAAATTGTACTGAATGTACCATACCACAAAGGGAAGGCTTGGATTGAGTTTGGGGGTAATAACTCCAAGGGGGGGGGATTTGTTTTTTTACAATTTTTTTTTTTTTTCCTTAAAATTTTCCATTTTTCCATTGATTATTTCTGATTTATATATAAAAGCCAAAAAAAAACTGATATGGCCGGAGGTGTAAATTATTATATATAACAAATTAACTAAGTATTGTGCAACAGCACAGTATTGCTAACATGGCTAAATACCAAGAAATCTTCAATTGCATAGTAATGCACAATAGCAAGAAATCTTCAATTGCGCAATAGCGCAGTATTGCCAAATAGCACAATATTGCGCAATAGCAAGAAATCTTCAATAGCAACCAATCTTCTATTGTGCAATAGCAAGAATTGCAAAGTATTGCGCAATAGCAAGAAATTTTCTCAAAAGGGTTCTCACTAAGGATTTTTGAAGGCGAGTCCAGGGACTCGTCATTTTTGGCCATGGTGAGTCCAACAGTAAGAAGAAGATATTTTATTGCAATAAATCTTATTATTTTAGTCACCATGATCTAATAGAACAATGGAATGACATTAAATTCAGATTACTTTTATTATTTTGCTACAAAAGGATGATATATGTGTTCAGTTTATACAAAATATTTTAATCTTGATGCATCTTTGGACTCACCAGTTTTGAAAATGGTGAGTCCAGACAGATTTTCATGAGTCCAGGACTCATGGACTCGCTTTAGTGAGAACTCTGATTTAATTTGAACAATATCACCTGATCACAGTACTGCGCAAAAGCAAGAAATTTTCAATTGAAAATTAGTACAAATATTTTAACCCATTTCAAATTTTTAAGATCTTTCACCACATTTATTTTGTGTCAGAAACCTATGTTATGTCAAATTTTTTATCACAATCCAAAATCAGACAGTATCAAGCTTGAATATTGTGTCCAAACTTGCACCAACTGTTCAGGGTTGGACCTCTGCGGTCGAATCTGGCTGTGATGAATCATTTTATTTAAAAATTTATACTACTTGTACTTATTATGGTAAAACAATGTTTGCCATTTTCTGTCTGTCCGACAACACTTTGTATAATAATTTATATTTATCGTCCTTCCCTATGCCAATATCACCAGGCTGCTCAGTGGCTCCTTAATTCTCATATCAAGGCTTTGAGATGAGAGCAGGCATTATCATTGATTATCAGTGACGTCACAATGTGTGAGGAGAAGTTATCAGTGACATCACAATGTGTGAGGAGACATTATCAAGCTTGCTTTCGTTAAGTGTAAAACTGTCCTAGGGAGGGGGAAAAGACCAGTAATAGAACAATAAACAGATAATCAGGTTTTCTATGTATAGATATGGTCAAATATCAGCCGCTAGACACAATTAATATGAAGCTTTTAGCTTGTTTACTGCACTCGCATGTCAAAATGATTCACATTGTGGCTCGCGGCTGATATTTTTCGATATCAATGTGTAGAAATTCTGATAATCTTTACATATATGCTTAAGTCAATGCTCATTTAGCATATGTTTAGTAAATTAACACAATCAATAGGATTGACAGAAGAAGCTCCCTTTTGATTTCGATTTCTTTTGTCATATTAGAGATACATGTGCATGGTTTTAACCATGGTAACTGTGCATATATGCAATTTTTCACATATCCAGTGTAACAGGATTGATTTTCTCAAAAAATTACATTATTGTTGGGATTGATCAAATAAGAAAGCTCCTTTTTGAATTTTTGAATTTCTGGTTTGTAGACTAGTTCAAGATGGAGTTACCAGACTTTTATAAATAATTGTCAGATTTAAGTACTTTTTCAGAAGCACATGCCTGTCAACTGACCCGTATCCTGCGGGTGTGACCCGAGATTTTCACAACTCTGAGGGATCAACCGGGACACCCGCCAGGGCGTTAAATAACCGGGGAATTCTGAAAATGACCCGTTTTCACCTGGATTCCTAGCCTTCAGACTGATTTCATAAGTGATTTTTCCTTTGAAATTCCGGCAAATTCGTAATTTTTCTTGGACAAGAAGTTCAACTAGCTGTGTAAACTCAAATTAAGTGACCCATTACAGTGCATGGCTTCATTTGACAGCTTTGGTGTCAAACACACTGTTAATTAACACCAATTACCTTAGCTTTAGGTCGTAAATAATTTGTGTACTTCAAAGTTGTTTAAAAAACAATTTGAGTCCCTTTTTTGTCACCTTTCAAAATAAACTCCATAACTTATGTTTTTTTGTAAAAAGATTAAATCAAAATGAATTAAATGCAAAAACATATCAGAATAATAGTTTTACTTATTTTTCTACCTTAGAACAATTAAAAAAATAAAAATTTAGAAAATTACTTTAAAAGCTGCACAAATGCAGGTAATGAAGAATCAAACTGGCACTTTGTATGTCATGGAATGAATATGAAAAGGAATTAAGGCAGTGTAACGCAAATCTTATCAATGACCTTCAAGTGCAATGAAATAATATTATGTACAGTTTTAAGTTAGCATTACCTAACCATGTGAACATGTTTTGGAAACTGTTTGATATAAATTATAAGAAAAATGTCCCCTAAATACTGAAATTCAGCTCGAAAAAGTTTGTACGCATTATGACCTGAGATTTCATTCTTCAATGCAGGAGATGACCTGCATTTTCATTGTCATAGGTTGACAGGTATGGAAGCATTAATTACCATGATTACCATTAACCTACCTGTATGATTGCTTGGATTTATTTACTGGAGTTTTCACTTTATTGTTGGAATTGGTGAATGTATTACACGGTTTGAATAAAAAAATCAATTCCAATGTTATAGCAGAGTTATGGGACTTTGACTGTCAAATAAATAAATAATGTCATGCACTGACTAGCTCTAGTATGTTTCAGTTTGGATCAAACACAGATCTTAGTTTAAAGTTTTTCTATCTATTGGTTCCATACATATCCTGTATAGGATAATTCATAAAACTTATTAGAGAAATCTTTATTTGGTAATTTCTCAATTCTGTTGCTAAAAGAATAAAAGGTAAAACATCTAACAGGGAAATTGTTTGATTAAAATATAAAATTGCAATTGAAACAAAATTTTTTTTGAAAAATGATATACAAATTTTATAGGGACCCACTATCCGCCATTCACATTTTATAAACTGAAAAAACATGTTTATCAAAATATTTTGTGTTTTTGACTCAGTTTGACACTCTTGTAGTGTTCTAGAATTATTTATCAACATCTAAAACTTCTTTCTGATGGAGTAAATTTCAAATTTCCCTGAAAATAACACTGACTTCTGAAAATACCACAGAGTACTATGCACAACTTGAATCTTACCTGAAGGTCCCAAATCTTTTCAATAGTATGCTTGAATCCAGTTGTTATCTTTCTGTCATATTGATGTAGTGTTTTGTTTTAGGTGACGCTATTTGACGTCATTTGTGCGTTTGTTGTGCATAAACTCTACACCAGTACTTTGAGCTAAGGGAGAAATATGGACTAACATGACTATAATGGAAATAAATTCTGTATGACTGACAACTCTTTTAAATGATAAAACTTAAGTATATTTCTTTAGGCAGGTATGCATTATAATGTACATGGGTGTTTGAAAAATGTCAAGCATTCACAAATACTTTATAAGTTAAAAGATGAAGGGTGAAGGGATCCAGTTAGCCCATAAAACTTTTATTAAAATGACTTGAGAAATCAGTACAATGTGCTAATCTTTTTAAGAAATTTATTAAATTTCATTGTTTATTATTTTCAATTGTAGCTCTTACATATATGGAGTCTGAACAGAATAATTCAGCAGTGTCTGCTGGATCTAGAAATCATGACTGTGAAGGACAAACAGAAGAAGATTATTGTTATATTGAAAATGGAAACCAACATGCAGCATGTCTCCCAACCATACCGGAATCAGGCCTTATTTTCCCATTTCCATCTAGAAACGTTGCACTCATTTTGGAGGAAAAGGATACTTTGGAGGAGGAATCAAGCAATTATCCTGGAAAAGGTTTCATGGAATCAGGTTTTATTAATCAGGGCAGGGAAGGAAATGTTGATGTGGAAGTCAAAGCACAGAACACATGCATAAATCAAGGTGATATAGACCAAGAAATGAACATGATGAAAGCTGAAAATTCTACAGTTGTACCTGCTGGTAATGCAAGTATTGATCCATATACATATGCTGTTGAAGAGTTACCAATTGGAGGAACTCAATTGAAAACAGATATTGATCCTTCTGAGGACAACATGGAAGAACTTAAGTCAGATACTGCCTGTGCTCCTGTTACCAGTTACCCGGATACCTATGCCAGTCCATGTAAGTTAAGCGATGGTCACAAAGCTGTAACAGAATCTAGAAATGAGATCAATTTTGATAATGAAAACTTCAGAAAATCATATTCATTTTCCAACTTCATGATGGAGGATCAAACAAAATTACATAAACCTGCATTTCTAGAGTTATGTACCCAGTGTGAAGAGGTCAAAATGGATTTTACTAACAACAAAGAAACTTTACATGGAATTGACACTGCTTCCTCAAGAAATTGTTTGCAGGACTATGAGATCAACAATGAAGACCTCAGTTCTGAAGAGGAAAAGCATTTTTTACAACCAGAAGACCTACAGGAAGACACCCAGCATGCTCAAACTGCTTTAAGGACAGAAAAGAAAGAATTTCAGGATCCAGAGCAGCTATCAGAAGAATTAAATGATATGGCAGAGGGGGTAAATGAAGACCAGCAAATGCATGAAATACATGGGAGTGAAGATCAAGAATGTTGTAGTAATTCAGGACCATCATTAGATCAAAATCTAATATCTTCTACAGAAATATACCAGCAAACCATGCAGAGTGTTCGCCAAGTTACCAACAGCTGTGATGATAAAAATTCTCATGTTTCTGTAGGTTCTGGAACATTCACAATCTTAGCATATCAAAATTATCTTCATCAAGAAAGACGCTTGGATTATGATGAATATTCTCAATATTTAAATCGGTTTACTCACAATAATGTAACAGATAAAGACCATCTTGCTCTTTCATCACGTGGACAAGATCATAAAACACAGATAAGAAGTCCTGTTCACGATGAATACCAAAGACATTGTAACATACAGTCATCTGGTGTCCAAGGTGAAATTGCAGAATCAGCAAGTCAAACTTCATGTACAAGAGAAGAACCAAAATTAGATTCAGAAATGTTATCGCAGGTGCCCAGTCAACTCATAGGTAATTCTAAATTGAAAAAGTAGAGACTTGAGCCTCTAAGGAAAAAGAAGGAACATTTTGGCCCTGTTAACTCATCAACAATTAAAAATTATCATTTCAGAAGATGACCTAGCTATTATCAAATTTTATTATAAACAAAAACTTGTTGACTTTGACAGTGTTATGTCTGAAACAGTTGTAATCAGAGATGAGTTTCAAACCAGACCACTGAGGAGGTTTAAAAAAGACAAACAACAGTCTTGAACAAAAATGATAGACCAAAACCTCACTTCTCCTTTTAAATTTTATAACAGCTGTTCTGAGCTCTTATTATAATTATTTTAACATTGAATATTGTAACTATCCAAAAAAATTCATATAATTATATTACACATTACAGGACACCATATACATAATACACATGATAAAGATAATACTACTAAACAGAACTGTTACTTTTTTATTTACAGAAATACAAGTCCCGACACAGGGAAGCCATACTAGTACTAGGACTAGAAGTACATGTACTGTTGATTTACTGACAATAATATTTCTACAACTGATATTGATGCCAGCTGTTTTTCAATACTTCAAAGACTCACAACATCTTATATACAATTATGTAAGTAGAATGAGATACTGATTGTGTTGGAGAGACTCATGCTTACTTTATAATGGTTATTACACATGTTACGAACACCTTCTAGAACTAACCATATATTCAAAAGTTTTCAAAACAGTTTTTTTTTTAACACTTTATTTTTTTTTATCTGTACACTTTCATAATACTTATTTTCTGATATGATATTGAAACCTATAAATGCTTTTCATTTTCATTCTAAAATTTTATTCTCATGCTCTTGATAGGAGTTAATGCCCTTGAAAGATGAAAATACCCATTTTTGTGTGTTTTTTCAAAAACTTATGAGTATAAAGAGAAACTTTATAAAGCAAAATTGATTGGTAGGACAGGATGTATGACATCATCAGTCAATTACCCTTGAAAGATATTTCCATGGAGATTATATGGCCTTACCCTCCACCATGGTTCATCGCTTTAAAAACTTTTGCATAATTTACCAGTTAAAGTGTGTGTTAAGGTTAGTTTGAAGGGAAACATTATGAAAAGTCAATGGTAATTGGTATTGGTCAGTGTCATATGCATTGGCATTTCTCATATCCATGGAGGTATTTTGGCCCTGCATCTTCAGTCATGGCTCATGTACTTTTTGCACAGTTCACATATTTAAATATTGCAATTTTATTTCAACTTTTGCATACCACAATCAAAATACTATCAAAAATACAAAAAAAAAGAGAAATAGACTTATATCTCAGTCACAACAGTTTATTAACCTTTTTTTGCAAACCAATTGAAATAAGAAAAGAACTATCAAACAGAAAATTATCAACAGGAAAAATTTAAACAAATAATTTAAAATTGCATAAATTTGTAAGTCAACTCATTATAGGAGTTATTGTTCTTGAAAAAAGATTTGTACTTATTTTTGTATCTTTTAGGGGGCACTATAGTACATGTATGTGTGTAGATAGAGGTAAATTGTAAATAATGAAATTCATCAGAATTATCATGATCATAAGATATATAACAAATAAGTTAAACATGCCCTGCTCTTATATCAGAAGAAAATAGAAAGCTTTAAATTCTTTACTATTTTAAAATTCTGTTTCATGACTTAATTTGAATCATCATGATCATACTTTTAATCCATTCGTTGAATTTTTTTTTTATTATGAAGAATGAAACAACAACACTATAGAAAGACAGTGAGTAGTTAATGTGCAGCAATCTTCTTGTTGATAGGTACAGCGCCAGTTTTATTGTTATTAATAGTTATGTAGTTTAACCTGATGTTAGCATGTTCATTAGTGGTGTTTCTTTCAAGCATGCAACATAATTATTGTTCCTATATAAGTTCAATTATAAAATGTATAAAAATCATTTGTTTATAATATTTTCACTGTGATTTCAACCTTTGTCTGGATATTAATGTTTAGTGTTGACCCAAATTTTTAAGTTTCACTGAACTTAGAAATAAAAAAAAAAATGAGCATAGTTTGGTGTCCAATGTATACATTATTGACATTATTCAAGTAATTGTCTACAATTAGGATTTTAAAGGTTTCCAATAGAAAAACATCAACCAGGTCTAACAAATGCTTTCTACTGTTTGAAGGGTACTTCAAATCACATTACTTAATTGCTCCTTTCAATAGTTCATATTTAATAAAATGTCTCAAAGCTCATTGATATCAGAATGGTATTTCAAACAGTTATGTTTTGGAGTTATCTCCCCTCAATTATATACCATTTGATAATTGTATATTTTCCATACATGGCATGCATGCAGTATTATTATTAAATTGAAAATCAGCATTAAACTTACCTAAAACAATATATGTTCATTTCTTTCCTCCCTCTCTCCATAAACATGACAAAACATTTAATATCTTTTCTGTGAAAGAGATATATATATATATTGTTTTGTGTAACGTTCAACTTGAGCCAAACTTGTACTATAAAATAACTGATTAGATTTATGTGTAAATAGATGAATAACTTTACTACATTGTTAACCATTAAATTATTATGACGTTTATCTGTAGTATTAGGCTATTTAAAGCTAGTCTCCATTACCTAAGTTAGCATAAATCTGTAGTATTAGGCTATTTAAAGCTAGTCTCCATTACCTAAGTTAGCATAAATCTGTAGTATTGGGCTATTTAAAGCTAGTCTCCATTACCTAAGTTAGCATAAATCTGTAGTATTAGGCTATTTAAAGCTAGTCTCCATTACCTAAGTTAGCATAAATCTGTAGTATTAGGCTATTTAAAGCTAGTCTCCATTACCTAAGTTAGCATAAATCTGTAGTATTGGGCTATTTAAAGCTAGTCTCCATTACCTAAGTTAGCATAAATCTGTAGTATTAGGCTATTTAAAGCTAGTCTCCATTACCTAAGTTAGCATAAATCTGTAGTATTGGGCTATTTAAAGCTAGTCTCCATTACCTAAGTTAGCATAAATCTGTAGTATTAGGCTATTTAAAGCTAGTCTCCATTACCTAAGTTAGCATAAATCTGTAGTATTGGGCTATTTAAAGCTAGTCTCCATTACCTAAGTTAGCATAAATCTGTAGTATTGGGCTATTTAAAGCTAGTCTCCATTACCTAAGTTAGCATAAATCTGTAGTATTAGGCTATTTAAAGCTAGTCTCCATTACCTAAGTTAGCATAAATCTGTAGTATTAGGCTATTTAAAGCTAGTCTCCATTACTTAAGTTAGCATAAATCTGTAGTATTGGGCTATTTAAAGCTAGTCTCCATTACCTAAGTTAGCATAAATCTGTAGTAAACACATTATAGGGTTCTCACAGATTGTGAATACTGACTGCTCTGTTTTAATTGATAAAAAGTGATTAGAATTAATTCATTTATCCACTATTTAGGGAACAAAGTTTCCTTAAACCTGGCTTTACATTTTTTTGGATTGAGTATTTATGAGTATTTTTGTCTGTTATACTGGCAAGCAGTTTTTTTTCAGTTGTAAAACTTAGCTGTTGAGATTTAAATCTTATTATATAAAAATAAGAAAATAAGGTATAACTGCCAATGAGACAACCCTCCACAAGAGCCCAAATTATATAGAAGTATGCAACTATCATCATGATCATGACTATAGCCTTAGTATACATGGTATATAGGTCACTATATACGTATAGAAACAAATGTTGTTTTTTTTATTTTGAAAGATAACAATTAAGTTCTGAAATAGATTTCATAAAACACTTTACATAATATCAACAGGATCATTTAGCATTTTTAGGGAGTGAGAAATTTCTGCATTTATAAATACCTGTTTTTGCATTTATTCAAAACTATGGTTTCATTTTTATTCTTTGGTACATTTGTACCAATTTTTGTGGAATGAAGAAAACTTTTCCTGGATATTTTATTTTGTCCTGTCTCCACAAAATCTACAAAAAATGGTATACCATAACTAATTATAAACTCACTGTAGAAATTAATTGTAAATAGCAAAAGTTCTCAGTAAAAAGAGATCTACAAATATGAGTGTCAACATGGCTGAAATCATCACTAGACTTCTTTTAGGATCTTGAATGTCATTTGCCTGAAAACTTTTATAGATACCCAGTAATTATAAATTATGAACAGTAAAATAGTCAGCAATACTATACCTACAAAATGCAAACATGGCTAAAAACATTGGATATCTCCTAACAAAGGGGATAATTATTGGACCTTAATGAAGACTTTACTAGTTTCCAATTTTTGCCTATTATCTCAAAAAGTATAACACATAGCGGTAGGTTGAAATTAAATCATCAAAATATTGACAGTTAGATAGTCAGGCTCTCATGTGGTCTTGTATTATGCGTCACTGGTTATGTTAATTTGCTGCAGTACCTGTTAATTATATTGAAAACCTTAATTTTGAAAAATTTCAACATAAAATTCAATCATCATCAGTTATACACAGACAGAAAAGAAATCTCAGTTTGTGCACTCTTGTTCATGATAATATGAATTTTATAGATATAAACTTGCAACAAAATTAAGTGCATGTCAGTGTTCAACTATTGTTTTATAATTTGAGAACAGTGACAGATTTGTCATGACTAATTTGGGCCTGTTTTTTTTTTTTTGTATACAATATTTGTTATGCAGCTACATGTACATATTCGTGCAGGTCTGAAAGAAGATTAAATTTGATATGATTAAAGCATCTAAATTAAATGTTTCATCGAAAGTAATACATTAATTGAATATTAATGTTAAGAGCTTAATATTTTAGAAGGTAAATAATGATTTTAATTTACAATATGTATTTATACATGTTATAGACTGTGATAAATATCTTATGGTCATGATGGTATGAGGTATAACTAGTTTTAAATCTTACTGCATATGATCTTTAGCATGGTGTGATTGTTTATGTTATTACTTATTTTCAGAATCAATTATCTTATGATTTCCTTGCCTGTAAATATGATTTCCATTTTCAGGAAGTTCCAAGGTTATATGACAGGTTTGTTAGGGGAGAGTTTGATAATATAAGACTGGAGTGGGTACCAAAGCTTCATGGACGTTTTGGAAGTTTAGATTTCTTTGGTGAGGACCGTTATATAATTTTGCCACCATTTCAATGGATAAGCCACCTATGTGACCAACCAACCCACAATTATACTGGAATCACTTCTGGCTTATTGAGAATCCAGTCTTGTATAGAACTTGTGTAAGTTTCTATTGTATTTTATTCCATGCTTTATTCATATTAAAGCAAGTTTGTTCAATACAAAAAAAGGTTTGAACCATGTATAAAAACCCCAAAAGTGTTTTAACTTTTCTGTTGAAATGAATGTACTTCCTTGCAGTTTACCATGTTTATAGGGTAATTTTTGTCTCAACATCCAAAAATATTGCTTAAGGTGAGACAATTGATAATTGTGAATAATAGGAGATCTCAAGTTTGAGCCACATGTGTTAGCAACCCAGGGACAAAAATAGCAAACAGACATCTAGAGGAGAAGATATAATAAATCTCCAACAATAGACTGCAGTCTTTAAAAATTGTAGGATCAAAGGAACAATCAAAGATCTGCCATCAAAACCCTATTCTATACATTAATCTATCACATGGTTGGCAAATTTTCATTTTTTGTTGACCTCATTCAGTCAGGGGTACTACTTGTACAAGTAATTTTTATTTACTTGATAATATATATGTATATAAGTAAATTTGTAGGATACTTATACAAGTGTATTTTATTTACTTGTATAGGTAAATAATTTTTTGGATTAGTTATGTCCCTTAGACCATCAGATTTTTTTACTTGTATAAGTTAAAAAGTCTTCCTATCTTCTTTTCTTGAATTCTTAGGACTTCTTTGCTCTAATAGAATTTTAAATTGTCTGTCCTTTGCAGATGTCTTTACAAATCATTTAAGTGTAATTTCATGGACAATGAAAATCTCATTTGCCTGTTATCTTCAGAACACTGCTCATTTACAAGCCTCCAAGGGACAATTTTTGAAGGCCTTGCACAAATACTTAAGATCTTTGTGCAATCAGTTTCTTTGTTGAATTAATGAGATGAAACATTGAACTCTAATAAAAGATTATGAGCTAACCTGGGAAAAATCATTAAAGGCATGTTTTACATCTCAAAACTTGAGAATTGCTGGTCAAAGAAATGGTATGCAGTAAGAAAAAGCTTCTCAATATATTATTAAAAAAAATGGGAGTTTAATTAGTTATCAAAGGTACCAGGCTTATAATTTGATACGCCAGACCCGCGTTTCATCTACATAAGACTCATCAGTGACGCTCAGATCAAAATAGTTATAAAGCCAAACAAATATAAAGTTAAAGAGCATTTAGGACCCAAAATTCCAAAATGTTGTGCCAAATACGGCTAGAGGTATTCTATGCCAGGGATAAGAAAATCCTTAGTATTTTTCATCTTAAGTTTTGGTACATAAGATATGGATACCAGTATAAAAATAAATGATAATATTTGGGGTCATGGCAGTTGAACAGATATTACATATGTCAGATTGTCATATCTCAATTTTCACTGAGTATCAGTTAATTTACAGGTATATTTGTAACATAAAATATTGACCCCAATGAAATATTGTCCGTCGGACAAAATTTCATATAAAGTATTGTCCGCAGACACTATTTCATAATGAAATACTGCCCAGGACCAGGGCTTCCAAAACGGTCGTATTTTCCGGACAAGTCGGATAGATTATATAAATGACTTGTTGTGCCTAGGCTGAAACGGACATTTAAATATAGTTCAGAAAAAAAATTGAAGTTTATGCGATCTTTTTGACCTGACCTTTGGCCTTAAACTGCCCACATTTCTGGTCATATAAGTGACTTGATGAATAATTACTATCAAATCAAACCCTACTATAATACCCTCTCATTACAATCAAGGTTAATTAGTTCACCTGATTTTACATGTTCAGGCGACAGGTAAACTATTTTGTACCGGACATTGATCGGTCTATTAAAAGCTATTTTCTCAAATTTCAGCGGTTTGCATCTAATTAATTTAGTCAACAAGAGTCAGACTACCAGAAAATGTATATAAATATGATTTGATGAAAATTTAAAAAGGTAGTAATAAAGGTTTTAAGTGAAAAATCGTCAGACCCAAGTTGTTTGAACTAGAACACTCGTGCGCAGGTGTGAGATTAAATTATGCATCAGAATTTTCAAAAATGCTAAAAACATCATTGACACCTTTATTAACGTTCATTTCGAGTCTTTATCTGTAGAAATAACGAGGAAAGAGCTACTTAAACTCAATCGTGCTTTGTAAACGGATTTTACGTATCCATGTCTGGTCCGTGTTTTACCATTGTCAAGTCAACATCTTGTAATCGGAAAAGTACCAAAAACACGAAAGTGAGAGTTATTGACAGCGTAATTTTGCACAATTAAAGAGCCTTAATTATAGGCAGATATTAGTACGCTGATTTTGCACACTTGGAATGGTGCACTGTCAATTTAACAGTTTACGCCAGAACATAGAATTTATATTAAAATCAAGTGAAATACCGTTTTTGTGTCAATCATAATTTATATGATGCCCAACTGATTACTATGGTTGCCTTTTGTTACTTAGTCTTAAGGGATTAAAATCGGGAAAAGACAAAAAAACTGTCAGGCTGGCTCAAATATTTTTTGATAGCCCTGTCCAGGACAATATTTAATTATGAAATAGTGTCCTTGTCCATGAAATTTTGTCACCTCCTTCTGGACAATATTTCACTATGAAATTCTGTTCATGACAATATTTCACTATGAAATACTGTTTATTATGACATTATTTCACTGTGAAATACTGTCCATGAAAATATTTCTTAATCAAATTATTACAAAATTAAAATAGAACACAAGCATGCAGCATGCACATTTTTAGATTTCTAACTGAAATTATTTTGTAAAGTAAGTATTTTATATTTCAAAATAATATTTATTTTAACAAAAGCTAGTTTCAAATTTGAATAGATGCTTTATAAATGGTTAATTATACATTAAAGAGTTGTCTAACGTATGTTCCATTGTACTACATTATACTCAGTGTATACATATAAGTAATGAACCGACAATCATGTATTTATGTTCAAAATTAAATGTACTAATAGTTTTTGTAAATACTAGATTGACAAATCTTTTTGCGACGGCATTTTGGAACTGAAATATTAATTTGTTTTTATTTGTCATTTTTTTATTATCAATCATTATCCAACATTATATATGTTGATAATCTCCCCTTCATGAGACAAAATTTCATAACAATCTGTCTATGAAATATTGTCTCATCAATACACACAAAATATAACCTCCCTTTAACAAGACAACATTTCATTGTATCAGAGACATATAATACATATTTTATGTCTCTGATAGTATTCATCTGTGAAATACTGTCTATATTCAGGCAAGATTTCACAATGGAAATTTGTCCTTCTTAGGACATTTTATCATAGATGAGGACAATATTTCATGATACATAGTCATGAAATATTGTCTTAGGGGACAATATTTCATAGGACAATATTTTGCTTTACATATTCACTAGATAAATGAGTTGTATACTTTGCAGCTTAGATTGCTTTTTTTTTTATGAATATCAATCATTTGTCATTTAGGAGACCTCCAGAAGGAAGATTGAATTTACAAATATTAGAACAACTACTGTTCACAGCCTTTTATCATGAAAGACAAGAGAATGTGAATCCACTCTATCAAGATGGTCAAAAGTAAGAATTTAAAACTTTTCAGATGTTAGAACAATTGTACAGTGTAGTTTTCTTGATATTGAGTTTATTGTCCCCTTTGTGACGCATGGTGGGGGACATAGAAATACTGGGAGTCTGTCCGTCCATCTGTCAGTCTGTTTGTTTGTCTGTCCCTCCAATCTTGTAAGCATTCTCATGTGTACAATTCTCGCCAGATTTTATTGAAACTTATATCATAGGTTTATATCAGCAATGTCTCGGACAAGCTTGAAAATTAGTGCTGATCAACTATTTTTAATAGAGTTATGCCCTTGGAAACATTAATTATATGGAAAATTTCATTGTTAGTGCTCTCATGTTAACAATTCTTGCTAGATTTTTATCAAATTTATATCAAAGGTTTATATAAGCAATGTCTGGGACAAGTTCGAAAATCAGTGCTGAACAACCATTTTTAAAAGAGTTATGCCCTTGGAAATATTTACTATATTGGAAATGGCATTGTATTTGCTCTCAAGCCTTCATTTCTCTAAGATATTTGTAAAAACTTTTAAAGAGCAGAAATAGTTTTTTTAGTTATTGCCCTTGGATAGATAAAATATGTGCAATGTGGATGACATTGGAACTCTGTTGTTTTATTTCAATGGTTACTGCATCTATGGTCATGATGGTATATGTAGAATTAAAAGATAGTAAATTAGGTAGTCAACTCTGAGATATTTGTAAAAGTTCTCTTATGTTAGGAAAAGAATGCTGAAATGAGGTAAAAATTCTGTAATTGCAAAGTTAAAAAAATAGTTGAACATTATGTTTGATATCATATCATCACATTTCTTGTAACAAATACACAGAACAATTTTTACAAGGAGCCTTTCCATTTTGATTAATGACTTTTTTCTAATAATGTATTGTTTGAAAAATTATTTCTGGAAGTAGAAACCATTCTATAATAGAAAAACAAAGGATATGGGGTATTCATTCATGACACAAAATCAGTTTATGTACAGCAAAAACACACAAAAAGCAAAGGAACAGCGCTTTTATTGCTGTTCTTCATCTCAGTCACAGTGAGGCCTTCAACACAGAGCAAAAAACTCATATGCTCCAATAAACTTCATGTGAATTGGTTTTCTGCTTTATGCCACTTTAATCATTTTTTTAATATTTTGTTCAAAAAGAAGAATAGTGCTTATAATCTTATCTTTGTAGCGGATCACCACCACCTTTGATAATAGTTAATTTTACAGATGCTCATTTGAACTTAATTCACGTTGAAAGCTTACATGGAATTATAAACATTGGTCCGTACAGATACTTTGTGGGAGGATTCAGCAGCCTGTTGAACAGACATTACACTGCCAGGATTTACAACCACAGTACACCTGAAGGCAGTGTTTTTACCTATGATAATGATAGGGGCCAGTTACTTCCACAATTATACCAGTTAGGAGAGCTATCATTAGTTTTTCTTTTTCGAGCACCACCACAGTAGATTATTTAAAATAATTTTGATATCAGAGTTTCATCTGTAAAGAGTAAAATCTAAGTGCTAAAAAATCTGAATAAATCATTGTAATTGAGCAAGAGAAAAAAAAAGTAAATTTAAGAATTGTTAATTTTTTTTAGACTTAGAGATCTTACTTTGTCATCATGTAGATGCAGTCTGTGGTCAACTGTCAAACTTTTATGATATTTATTGAAAAAAAGCTTTTCAAGATAAAAAAACAGTAATTTTTACCTGAAAACTGGACTTCAGTTTTGTTTTTTGTCATTTAATATGTAGATTTTTTTTAGTCTTAAGGTTATTTTTTTAGACATCTGTAATGAAATAATATATCCATAATGTCATGGCTGACATGGCTAAAAATAGAACATTGGGGTAAAATACATGTTTTGTCTATTATTTTTAAAACCATTATAAATAGAGAAAATCTGACAAGGTCAAAATGTTCAAAATGTTGAGCTCTATCAATTGTTCTTGACGTCAAAACTGTCAGGGGACTTCTTATAGGAGTTATTGCCCTTAAATGACAAGTTTTACCATTTTTTCCCTTTATCTTGAATACTATAATATATAGATAGAAACTTTTACTTGCATAAATGTTCAGCAAGAAAAGATCTATGAATAAGCATGCATGGTTGAAATCGTCAGTCAACTCCTAATTAGAGTTATTGCCCTTTAATGACCATTTTTACAAATTTTTTGCATTTTTGCCTTATATCTTAAAATTTATAGTAGATAGATAGAAACTTAAATAAGCAAAAATGATCAGCAAGACAAGATCTACATTTAAGACAATATGGAGGAAATTTTCCAATGACTCCTTATTGGAATTATTGCTCTTTAATGACGATTTTTTATTTACCATTTTTTTTGCGTTTTGACTTATATGATAAAAATTATAATATATAAATAGAAACTTTAAATAACAATAATGATCAGCAAGGCAAGATCCACAAACAAGTCAAATTTTGCCTATATAGTTAGTAGACTGTCACTCTTCATAGGAGTGATTGCCCTTAAATGAGGCCTTTTTTTTTACCGTCTTTTGTGTTTTGAGCAACAAAAACTAAAGGAGATAGAGAGAAACTAAACAGACAAAATGATCAGCAATACAAGAACAACGAAAAAGAAATTTTTGTCATCCATTCTATTCTTGTCTACAATGTTAGAGAGAGTCCATTGTTGATTATGCACATAGACCTAGTAGGTGAGCCACACAGGCTCTTTAGAGCCTTTAGTTTTATTTTGTCAAACATTCAAAGAATTTTATGAATGTATGAGTCTAAAGAAAATATTTTAAGAGATAAAATCTTTTTAACTTTTTAAGCATTTGTGTAATGTTCAAAACTTAGACACAAGCTTCTTAATCATCAAGAAGTAGTAAAGAATGTACAGTGCTAAGTGGTGCACTAGAATGAATATGTTGTAATGTTATAATTAAGTAATGTAAATAACAGAGCTGAATTAACTAAAAAGTTGTTTGTTCTTTTATTTAATTGTCATGTAATAGGTTATTTTAATATTATATGATATGTTTCTATCTGGTGATAATAAATTCGTTTTGTTTTTATAGAACAAAGTGGACTTTTTGTTAGCTTCTTGCATACCCTGTAGGTTGGCTTAATTGTAAACAGGGATCCTCAAGGTTTACATGGTTTGATTTACCTTTCAATTTTCATTCGATTTTTACCTGTGTACCTGCTTTCGGCTGAAATTGCTCCGTGTGAACACTAAAATTGAATGTTGTTTTATCAATCGTCGTATAGAAAATTGTATCATGTGAACGGAAATCTGTGCGATTTACCTGGGCAATGGTATCAAATTGGATTGAAAATCAAATGGAAAATTATACCATGTAAATGAACCTTTAGTCTTATCCTGGGCAACTGAGTAAATTGTAAACAGAACAATTTTGGAATAAACAAGCATCTATTAAATTTAAGAAAAAAAAAAGAAAGGAAAGGAAGCAGTAATGAAGAAGTTTGAATTATTATTTATTTTTATACGACTGCAACAAATTTTTTGCATTGTATAATGCTATGATGTCGTCGTCTGCGTCGTCGTCCGAAGACACATTTGGTTTCCGGACAATAACTTTAGTTTAAGTAAATGGATTTCTATGAATTTTTACCAGAAGGCTCAATACCACAAAAGGAAGGTTTCGATTGATTTTAGGGGTGATGGTACCAACAGTTTAGGAATTAGGGGCCAAAAACAAGCATTTTTGTAGTTTCCAGACAATAACTTGTGTTTAAGTGTATGTATCTCTCTAAAATTGTACTACAAGGTTCCATACCATAAAGGGAAGGCTGGGATTGAGTTTGTGGTCCAAAAAGGGGGGGGGGGGGGTTCAAAAAGTTTGGGATTTTTTTTTCCAATTTTTTTGGAGGAGTTCAAAATTTTTGAAATCTTCAGTTGCACAGTATTGCGCAATAGCAAGAAATCTTCAATTGCACAGTGTTGCGCAATAGTGCAGTATTGTACAATAGCACAGTATTGGGCAAAAGCAAGAAATCTTCAATTGCACAGTATTGCGCAATAGCACAGTATTGCACAATAGCATAGTATTGCGCAATAGAAAGAAATCTTCAATTGCACAGTATTGCGCAATAGCACAGTATTGTGCAATATCAAAGTATTGCGCAATAGCAAGAAATCTTCAATTGCACAGTTTTGCACAATAGCACAGTATTGCGCAATAGCAAGAAATCTTCAACTGCACTATTGCGCAATAGCAAGAAATCTTCAATCGCACAATATTGCGCAATAGCAAAAAATCTTCAATTGCACAGTATTGCGCAATAGCAAGAAATCTTCAATTGCACAGTATTTGGCAATAGCACAGTATTGCACAATAGCAAGAAATCTTCAATTGCACAGTATTGTGCAATAGCAAGAAATCTTCAATTGAAACCAAATACAAATGTTTTAACCAATTTTGATGGGATTAATTAAGTCTTTAATTTTTGGGGGTTCTAACCTTGTATAATTTTTTTTGGATATTGGGCCCCATTTTTAAATTGGTCTACATTGAGGTTGAAAGGGTCCAAAATTAAACTTTGTTTGATTTCATCAAAAACTGAATAATTGCGGCTGTATAATTTGCTGAATCTTATTGTGCATTTAGATTTTTATTTTGGGCCCTGTTTTCAAATTAGTTCATATTAAGGTTTGAAGGGTCCAAAATTAAACTTTGTTTGATTTCAACTAAACTTAAATTATTGGTGTTTTTTTTATATGCTGAATCTAACCATGTTGTTAGATTTTGGATATCAGACCATTCTAGGTAAATTAAATGTCCCATTTCAAATTTTTAAGATCTATGACCACATTTATTTTGTGTCAGAAACCTATATTATGTCAAAAATTTGATCACAATCCAATTCAGACAGTATCAAGCTTGAATATTGTGTCCAAACTTGCACCAGCTGTTCAGGGTTCAACCTCTACGGTCATATCAGGCTGCGCTCAGCGAAGCATTTTATTTTAATGTATTTTACGAGTAAACATTTTTATTTTTCTTTTCAAAACTTACTATGCACAGTAAAAATCTTAAGGCAAGAAAAAGATTTTTTTTAAGAAAAAAAAATATTGCTGTGTTCTTTAATATTGAGATTTGGTATGTTACTTAAAAACTACTGTACATATTTATGCAGTCAAATGGTCTGATAAACGGATATATTTTGTGTTACGATGATCATATATTCTAGAAAGTACATATCTGACATTTCCAAATCTGAAAACTTCAGACGCAGTCTGACATAATTAGCCCCCATTCATATTATATACATTAATATAATTATGCCGCTACTCATATGTGACTAGCAAACTGTAATTCTCTGTATATTGAATTTGGCACCAGAGCTCTTATTTGACAAAAAATATGAGTGTACTATTTTTTTCTCATCACTTGCGTCCGTCGTCGTCCGTCGTCGTTTACTTTTACAAAAATCTTCTCCTCTGAAACTACTTGGCCAAATTTAACCAAACTTGGCAACAATCATCATTGGGGTATCTAGTTTAAAAAATGTGTTCGGTGACCTGGCCAACCAACCAAGATGGCCGCCATAGCTAAAAATAGAACATAGGTGTAAAATGTAGATTTTGGCTTATATCTCTGAAACCAAAGCATTTAGAGCAAATCTGACAGGGGTAACATTGTTTATCAGGTCAAGATCTATCTGCCCTGAAATTTTCAGATGAATCGGACAACCCGCCCCTGAATTGGTAATTTTAAGGAAATTTTGCCGTTTTTGGTTATTATCTTGAATATTATTATAGATAGAGATAAACTGTAAACAGCAATAATGTTCAGCAAAGTAAGATCTACAAATAAGTCAACTTGACCAAAATGGTCAGTTGACCCCTTAAGGAGTTATTGCCCTTTATAGTCAATTTTTAACCATTTTTCGTAATTTTTTGTAATCTTTTACAAAAATCTTCTCCTCTGAAACTACTATGACAAATTTAACCAAACTTGTCCACAATCATCATTAGGATATCTAGTTTAAAAAATGTGTCCAATGACCCCGCCCGCGAACCAAGATGGCGGACATGGCTAAAAAATAGTACATAGGGTAAAATGCAGTTTTTGGCTCATATCTCTGAAACCAAAGCATTTAGAGCAAATCTGACGATAATAAAATTGTTCACTAGGTCAAGATCTATCTGCCCTGAAATTTTCAGACCAATCAGGCAAGACGTTGTTGGGTTGCTGCCCCTGAATTGGTAATTTTAAGAAAATTTTGCAGCTTTTGGTTATTATCTTGAATATTATTATAGATAGAGATAAACTGTAAACAGCAATAATGTACAGCAAAGTAAGATCTACAAATAAGTCAACATGACCAAAATTATCAATTGACCCTTTAAGGAGTTATTGCTCTTTATAGTCAATTTTTTACAATTTTCATAAATTTTGTCAATTTTTGTAAATTTTTACAAAATATTTTCCACTGTTACTACTGGGCCAAGTTCATTATAGATAGAGATAATTGTAAGCAGCAAGAATGTTCAGTAAAGTAAGATCTACAAGCACATCACCATCACCAAAACACAATTTTGTCATGAATCCATCTGTGTCCTTTGTTTAATATGCACATAGACCAAGGTGAGCGACACAGGCTCTTTAGAGCCTCTAGTTTTTTAAATATTGTAAGATTCAACAGGGAACTATGTTTCTAATATGTTAAAATCAAACTAAATTAAAGAACTCTGTCACAACTAGTAAAGGTCAGTTTGTATATATATATAATTACCCACAAATAATATAGCAACTTTTCAAAATAAAATATAGAACATGAATCAGATTTATTAAACTTTTTAGCTTGGAGGCTCTGTAACATGTCATAAGTGAGCAAATCTTGTATATAAAAAAAATCACAAATAAAATGTTTTTTATTTTTACTTTTTTACTCTTTTATTTATTTATTTATTTATTTATGTGTGTTTTTTTTTTAATTTAATATTTAGCAATGTTTAGAACAACAGAATTTTGCAAGTATTTTACCATACAGAAGTTTATTTGTGTATTATTTTTCATATTTCATATTAACTACAACATAATTTTTCAAGTATTTTTTAAAACTCTTGTTTCTAACTCTTAAGGAGTAGTTTTTAACTCTTTAAAATACCGACTGTATTTTACCTGTTATTAATTATTGATTATTATAACAACACCCATTGTATTTTGTTTTTTAGGCATAGGTTGAATATATATATTTTTCAAATGTGGGCATAGGTTGAAGACACCAAATCAAAAGCTTTATTTAAAGTCGGCATGTCACAAAACTATAACATATTCATAAGCTCTTTGAGCTTTTATAACCGACAAATACATACATTTACACAATAAACATCCACAATACACATACACAATACTAATATTAAAGCATAAAAGACATAGAACATATATTTCATGCACAGTTAGGCAAGGCTGAACTATTTTAAATACTATACATTCTATACATGCATGAGCACTAAGCTTAAAGCAATATTAAAGCAGCAACAAAAAACACTAAAGCACAGCAATCACAAATTATAAAAAGCTAAGCAAAAAAAAACCCACTCAAAAGAGTGGAAGTATAATAAGCAGCACTACTATGTTTCAAAGCTGTAACATAAAACATAAAAATAAATATTAAGCACCTGCATTCAACGGCATGAGTTGCCATTCCATGACTTTATTAGACTCTTGAATTGGGTAAAAGTTGTTTCAGTTCTAAAGTGGTTTGGAGACTCATTCAATAGTTTTGCTGCAGAATATCTGAAGGATTTCAAGCCATACCTTGTAGTTCTTACATCAGGTATTACAGCTAAGTTTTGATATCTGAAAGAATATTTTGTTTCTTTATAATAATAATGTTTATTAGATCATGGCAGTATATTGGATTTTGTTTATTAACTGTTCTAAATACCTCTATTGCCATGGTTCTCAAAGAAATCATATCATATCAATGAAACTAACAAATTGTATTTATAAGAAGTTCTGATTACCGATATATTGAGTTTGACGTGTTTGTTTATGTTCTGTACTCTATAAATAAAGGTGTTAACAACTTTCCAATTTTTTTGTTAACACACTAATTTTAAGATATAAGGATTAGTATTAATACTTTCAAATACAAAATAAAAAAATACTTATTGAAATCAATCAGTTGATGACAATGTCTAATATTAAATGTTTATTTTTTTTTTTTCATAACATTTTTAGCTCACCAGGCCCAAAGGGCCAAGTGAGCTTTTCTCATCACTTGGTGTCCGTCGTTAACTTTTACAAAAATCTTCTCCTCTGAAACTACTGGGCCAAATTTAACCAAAATTGGCCACAATCATCATTGGGGTATTTAGTTTAAAAAATGTGTTCAATGACCCAGCCTGTCAACCAAAATGGCCGACATGGCTAAAAATAGAACATAGGGGTAAATTGCAAGTTTTG